ACAGGCCCGACATGCAGACAAACCACCACACACGCTCACAATTTAGAGTCGCCAGTCAGCCTAAGCTGCGTGCCTTTGGACTGTGGGAGGAAGCCAGTGCATCCAGAGAAAACCCACGCAGGCACAGGGAGAACATACAGTGAGGAACAGAAGTATTTGAACACCCTGCGATTTTGCAAGTTCTCCCACTTAGAAATCATGGAGGGGTCTGACATTCACATTGTAGGTGCATTCCCACTCTGAGAGACAGAATTAAAAAAAAAAAAATTCAGGAAATCCCATTGTATGATTTTTAAAGAATTTATTTGTCTTGCACTGCTGAACATAAGTATTTGAACACCTGAGAAAATCAGTGTTAATATTTGGTACAGAAACCTTTGCTTACAATTACAGAGGTCAAACGTTTCCTGTAGTTCTTGACCAGGTTTGCACACACTGCAACAGGGATTTTGGCCCACTCCTCCACACAGATCTCCTCTAGATCTGTCAGGTTTCGGGGCTGTCGCTGAGCAACGCGGAGTTTAAGCTCCCTCCAAAGATGTTCTATTGGATTGAGGTCTGGAGACTGGCTAGGCCACTCCAGAACCTTGATATTGTTCTTACAGAGCCACTTCTTGGTTAACCTGGCTGTGTGCTTCGGGTCGTTGTCATGTTGGAAGACCCAGCCACGACCCATCTTCAATGCTCTGACTGAGGGAAGGAGGTTGTTGCTCAAAATCTCACAATAAATGGCCCCATTCATCCTCTCCTTAATACAGTGCAGACGTCCTGTCCCCTTCGCAGAAAAGCACCCCACTTGAGCAGGGGAACCTTCCGTGCAATGCATGATTTGAAACCATGACGGCGTAGTGTTCTACCGACAGTGACCTTTGAAACTGTGGTCCCAGCTCTCTTCATGTCATTGACCAGCTCCTCCCTTGTAGTTCTGGGCTGATTCCTCACCTTTCTTATCATCAGTGATACCCCACGAGGTGAGATCTTGCATGGCGCCCCAGTTTGAGGGAGACTGACAGTCGTCTTTAGCCTCTTCCATTTTCTAACAATTGCTCCAACAGTTGATCTATTTTCACCAAGCTGCTTGGCAAATGCCCCGTAGCCCTTTCCAGCCTTGTGGAGATCCACAATTGTGTCTTTTGACAGCTCTTTGGTCTTGCCCCTGGTAGTAGTTGGCGTCTGACTGACTGTGGGGTGGACAGGTGTCAGAGCTCAGACAGGTGCTACTAATTTAGGTTAATGAGTGGAGTAGAGGTAGACTTTTTCAAGGCACAGTAACAGGTCTTTGAGAGCCAGAATTCTTGCCGTTTCTCAGGTGTTCAAATACTTATGTTCAGCAGTGCTAGACAAATAAATTCTTTAAAAATCATACAATGTGATTTCCTGAAATTTTTTTTAAAATTCTGTCTCTCAGAGTGAGAATGCACCTACAATGTGAATTTCAGACCCCTCCATGATTTCTAAGTGGGAGAACTTGCAAAATCACAGGGTGTTCAAATACTTCTGTTCCTCACTGTATAGACTCCACACGGAAAGGCCCCAGGTCGGCCGGGGCTTGAACCCAGAACCTTCTTGCGATAAGGTAACAGCGCCGACCACCACACCGCTGTGCCGCCTGCGTCAGTTATGGAAAAAGTAAAATAATTTATTGAACAATTTGCAGAAAGTTAATTCTGACATCTGAAATATTTATTTCGTTGCCTGTACTTGTACATGGGTAATGACAATAAAGTTTAATCTAATCTAATATGAAATGCTGCATTCCAAACAACAAAAAAAAGGTAGGACTATACAGTAAATGTTCATAAATTGAGTAGCTTAATGAAGTAAATGAGAAATGAGCTTACAATATTGAGACTTTGGACCAACTGTGTATTCCATCTGCAGTGTCAGCTCAGGACAAAGCTACAGTTCTGGTGGAAACGTCTCTGGAAACAACAAATTTCTGGTTTCCCTGAAATGACCCCCTTCCAAAAAAACAAACACACTTGTTTACAAGTGGCCTTCCACTCACCGATCCTTTGTGACTCACTGGCTTCACCTTCACCCTGTGTAACATCAAGATTGAATACTCTCTCCACATCGGGAGTTAATCTACTACAGCCAACTGTTACAGCAATACAAAGCCACCAACATCAAAACAAAAACGCCCTCATTACTGAAGCAGGAAGTAATCCATAAAGCAACAAAAAAGGTTCCACTTCTAAGGAAAACCTAATTCCATGTCTCTTTCTATGACGGACAATTGAGCTCTCTCATCACTTCCTCAAATGTAAAGAAAGTCCCTATTTATTATTTGAATACAAGGAACAGCTCTCATCCTGACTGATTCATCGCCTATAAACTGTAAGTAATAAAAAATGTTCAGCACAATTGACCAGAGCCTAAAGTTGCACAGAGGATTTTGCTGCTAAAAGGCCAGGGGGTTGGGTACTTCCACTGCAGTGTATGTGAGGGACTGATTATTCTATAAATGTAAACTTTGGCTGAGAAGTGGATGATATTTTTGGATTCCATATCAAATTTAGATGCAGTCGTAGATCAGCTCTGCATCAGCAAGTGACATTATTCTCCACATTTTACAACACACCACAGTTATCAAAAATGGTTTCAGCTATCTGCCTCCCTCTTGTGTTCAAAACAGCACATTACCAAAGGTGTAACTTAAGATAGAATTACGTCACATCATGTCGCCAGTTGCCACTTGTTTGCCACACTCTTGTATTTAATGTAAATATTTGACTTTTGAGAAAACTGTGTAAAAATTACATTTGCTCAACAAACCATTCTTTTTATTTTTAAAAACCCTTTTTAAAGGACAAAAAATAGGGAAATAAACTATTGCTATTAGACAATATAAGGATATTTTTCACAATGGGCTTTGTAAAAATATGTGGCTTTTGTTTGCCAAAACATTATTCATAGACAAAAACGTACAGCAGCAATGTTACTGATGTCTGGGGTCCATTAGACCCCTCTCATAAAATAAACATTTAGAATACTCCAATAACAAATTTAAATTGACTTAATTATTATTATTATTATTAACAAGCACTGTCAAAAGCACTGAAAACCCACTAACCACTAAAAACACATAATCAAATTAGGAGGCGAGTACCAAGCTGACAAAACAGTGTGAAATATTTTTGAGTTGTTGAACAAAGCACACGGGGCAGATACACTCTTATATACAGTATTTCACGTTTCATTTAAGACACGTGCTCTTTCAGTGAAGTAAAGCCAAAATTGAGGCATATTTGAAAATATATATATTCAAATAATCTCTTTATTCGTTCTATATAGATGCACACCACTAAAGACAGTGATAGGAGCACACAATGGGCGTTAACATTTATCAGGTATTCAGAGGAGGGAGGAAACTTTGCAGATTTAAATAAAAAACAAAAAGACAAAAAACATTTTCTAAATGTGTGTGTTGCTAAAGGTACAGCCCAGATAGCAGAAATAAGGTGGTATGTGCCAGATTGACTTTGTTCACTTGCTAATGATGTTTTATTCTGTACAGAGGGACAATTTGTACAAAATTAATCTACAGTAGATATATAACACTACATGAAACAAGGTAAATCATATATACAATATGAAATGAATCGTATAGTACAGGTCACATACAAAAGGACACTTTAAGTTATGTTTTGGAAACAATATGTTAAAATTAAAAGATCTGCAAAGATCCTGCAGAGAGAGAGAGAGAGAGAGAGAGGGAGAGAGAGAGAACAAGCCACTGAATCATTAAATCATCTTTTGTTTTCATGGATGAATTGTTTTCCAGCACTAAAATAAACCTCAAACATCTTTGTCTCTAACTCATAAAATCCATGAACATCTCTCCGAGCAAGCAGGACCATTTCATAAACGCAATGACCTCAACAACAGAAATCAATAGGTCTGGTTGAATGGCATTCCTCCAGGGTAAATGTTACATGTTTAACATGGTAGTTTTAATTTACATCTTTTTGCACTCAAGCAAATACAGTATTAATACAATTAACAAACCAAGTCACTATTTCAGTTTATTTTCAGGATCTGGCATTTTGTGGCCATTTGATACCTGTCTGTTTCAGCTATGGGCATCCTGATTGGCCAAAACAAACAAACAAACAAAAAAAGCCCGACAGCCACGCTAACCTTCAGAGACAAGACAAAGAAACACAACACATCAAAGATTAAGAAATGTAGCAGACTTCAGTTTAAACAATGGTACTGACTGGAAGACATTTCCAACTTTCTTGCTGGGAAGGTCACGACGTACATAACCCGGCATCTGAAATTAAAACCGGTAGCAACACAAACATGCTCCACCTTCCAAATTTCCCCATTTTTTGGTAGCTCTCATCAAGTACATTGTGTAACATCAGATGTCAGTTTGTAAAAAAAACCAAAAAAAAAAAAAAACCTTTTCACTAGCTCTGATGTTTGAGAATAAATTTGTCCTATCTTTAATTAATAAGGACTTTAAAATCTTAGCATACAGTACACATTTGTCATCTTTGTAAAGAAACAAAGCAGAGGTCCTAACTTAGTAACAGTTGCTAAAAAACCCAACAGAGTGCAGCTTTTCGGTGCTGAAACACACGATACAGTACAGATCTGTGCCTCTTTTTCCCATTCATCACTGTCAATAATCATCTACATTCATTTTACAGTGTGTAAAAACACACACACACACACACACACACACACACCCCTTTATCTTGCTACAGCTAAGCCCAGGACACTGCTACTGCGACTAAGGTAGCAAAGACAAACAGCTTCCATTCAGGTTCATCCTCATCTATTAAACTCAAAAGCAGTGAGTACCATTGTTTGAACCATCTAGGCATCACTATGGTCTGGTTTTCAAATATTGCCAAAGAACATAAGGAAGCAAGCATATAAAATAGCGACATATGGCACAAAACAATAAAATGGAAAGAGTCAGATGTCCACAGGATAGCTTCCTCTTTCTCACCATCTTTCCTGGACACTGCAAGGCTAAGGACAAAAATCAAAGGCATGTATCCCTGTTAAAAGTCACAGAAAACACAAAACGAAGAACACAAGTGTCTTGGCACTGACAAGATGTCCATTACATTGAGCAAAAAAATAAGAAGTATACGACAGATGACAGGAAAGTCTCGTCTTTCATTTGACCAACAGGTTCTGTTTTGTTCCCTTTGACAGAAAAGAACCAAGCAGAGACCAGAGCATGATCCTTAGACAGCAAGTCAGTCGGTTCCTATATAACCACGTCCGATCCTTTGTGAATGTTTGCAAGAGGGAATGAAGGAACCAGAGTTGTGGCGTCCTAGGTTCCACATTTACAGTGAGTGCACAGGAGGTGGAAGGAGCAAGGAAGGTGAGAGGAAATGATGGACAAAATAATGGGAAAACACACCGGATGTGGCAAGGGCTAAAAGACGTACGTACGTACACACACACACACACACACACACAAACAAACACACACACACTCCTCTCCAAATAAAGAAAATAACCTGAGAAAGCAGAAATCTGAGGGAGGCGAACATGGGGCCTCTGACTGGGTCAACAGGAATGAAGAACTAAGAATTCTGATGGTGGGAGGAAGGATCAAGAGCCCAACATGGGTCACCAGTGTAGTTCTGACACCTGGGCGGGGAGGATGTCCATGGCTATCGAGGGTAGAAGGGGCAGTTGAACCAAGTGCCGGCAGGTGGCGGGGACCTAGAGTCCATCGTGGGTGGTCAACATGTCTTCAGCTCTGCGGTGGGACTCCAAGGCTTTTGTGGTGTAGATATCCTGAGGCAACTCGGATTTGCGTCGCATCATTGGTCGCTCTTTCCGCTGGTCATGCTGCAACTGTCAGACAGAAAAGAGAAAACCAGCAAGAGCAGTTATTATAATTTTTTAATTATCTTCTGTCAACATGTCAAACTCTTCCTGTTGTGATCTTATCTTTGAGACAAAGCACGGACGGCTTGAACACAATTCGGTTACATACATCAAAATCTAATTAACTGAGGAAAACAAAGACTAAATCAGTTAAAGCATTGTGTACTGGGCCAAAAGATTACAGAACTTTAAAGTAAATACACATTATTCGGGGGGTATTAAAGAAAGCAGGTTAAGCAAAAACCAGTAGTTTGTTCACTCAGAGTTGAGGGAAACGCTGGATATTCAGTTCCAGAAATGGATATCGCTTTGAGGCAGTTACAGCGGTAACTTTGTGACTCAACAAACCCAGCTTTTCTCTTCTCCTCTTGCAGAGTCTCAAGTAGCTGTCTAACACGCTGTTTCATCTCCTCATTCATAAAGCCCTTATTACAGCACAGATTGAGGACCGGATCTTCGTTTTCAGAGGTTTAGGTCAGGAGAGAAGGATAAAAATCCCAGTTAAATAGCAGCCTAATCATTTGTTACCCAAGACCTATCTTTACTAACGTGACTGCTTTTATGATCAATGAGTCATAAGTGTAAAGACAGAGATCTTTCCTCATTTAAATCCCGTTGGCCTATTACACAGTGCGGATTCATCCTCAGCTCACAATAAAATCTGTGCACTGTCCATCTTACTAACACTGTGACTCTGTGGACACGAAGACAACTGCTAGGTTGTCGGTTTATACAGTGCCTTGCGAAAGTATTCGGCCCCCTTGAACTTTGCGACCTTTTGCCACATTTCAGGCTTCAAACATAAAGATATAAAACTGTAATTGTTTGTGAAGAATCAACAACAAGTGGGACACAATCATGAAGTGGAACGAAATTTATTGGATATTTCAAACTTTTTTAACAAATAAAAAACTGAAAAATTGGGCGTGCAAAATTATTCAGCCCCCTTAAGTTAATACTTTGTAGCGCCACCTTTTGCTGCGATTACAGCTGTAAGTCACTTGGGGTATGTCTCTATCAGTTTTGCACATCGAGAGACTGAAATATTTGCCCATTCCTCCTTGCAAAAGATACTGTTGTGGAGAAGTTTAAAGCCGGATTTGGATACAAAAAGATTTCCCAAGCTTTAAACATCCCAAGGAGCACTGTGCAAGTGATAATATTGAAATGGAAGGAGTATCAGACCACTGCAAATCTACCAAGACCTGGCCGTCCCTCTAAACTTTCAGCTCATACAAGGAGAAGACTGATCAGAGATGCAGCCAAGAGGCCCATGATCACTCTGGATGAACTGCAGAGATCTACAGCTGAGGTGGGAGACTCTGTCCATAGGACAACAATCAGTCGTATACTGCACAAATCTGGCCTTTATGGAAGAGTGGCAAGAAGAAAGCCATTTCTTAAAGATATCCATAAAAAGTGTCGTTTAAAGTTTGCCACAAGCCACCTGGGAGACACACCAAACATGTGGAAGAAGGTGCTCTGGTCAGATGAAACCAAAATCGAACTTTTTGGCAACAATGCAAAACGTTATGTTTGGCGTAAAAGCAACACAGCTCATCACCCTGAACACACCATCCCCATTGTCAAACATGGTGGTGGCAGCATCATGGTTTGGGCCTGCTTTCTTCAGCAGGGACAGGGAAGATGGTTAAAATTGATGGGAAGATGGATGGAGCCAAATACAGGACCATTCTGGATGGAAACCTGATGGAGTCTGCAAAAGACCTGAGACTGGGACGGAGATTTGTCTTCCAACAAGACAATGATCCAAAACATAAAGCAAAATCTACAATGGAATGGTTCACAAATAAACATATCCAGGTGTTAGAATGGCCAAGTCAAAGTCCAGACCTGAATCCAATCGAGAATCTGTGGAACGAACTGAAAACTGCTGTTCACAAACGCTCTCCATCCAATCTCACTGAGCTCGAGCTGTTTTGCAGGAGGAATGGGCAAAAATTTCAGTCTCTTGATGTGCAAAACTGATAGAGACATACCCCAAGCGACTTACAGCTGTAATCGCAGCAAAAGGTGGCGCTACAAAGTATTAACTTAAGGGGGCTGAATAATTTTGCACGCCCAGTTTTTCAGTTTTTTATTTGTTAAAAACGTTTGAAATATCCAATAAATTTCGTTCCACTTCATGATTGTGTCCCACTTGTTGTTGATTCTTCACAAAAAATTACAGTTTTATATCTTTATGTTTGAAGCCTGAAATGTGGCAAAAGGTCGCAAAGTTCAAGGGGGCCGAATACTTTCGCAAGGCACTGTACACAAGCAGTAAGACCCCACCACTTTCTCCCCCACTGAAGAAATTCAAGTCTGCTAAAACAATGACTGAGTGGATGACTTAGAATAAAATCTTACAGCGTTTTAACTCTGTTCTCCCAGACGGCCTCTTACACTGTTAAAGATCAATGGCAGACGGGGCTGATTTACACATCATACTTTGAAAACACGAGGTAGAGAAAGCTGGAATAACAAGAGACACACCACCTCCTGTCCCACTTTCACTTGATATTCCAGACAGTGTTTAAAATCCGGTTAATGCAGCTTTAATTCAGACTGAATACTTTGGGGATCCATGATACTTAGACAACATGCACGGGAAAACAAAACCATTGATTCCAGTGTTTAAAATGACATTTTTTACAGAAGGTATACAGATATAATCACCACAGTGCAAGTAGCTTTGGTCAGAGGACTTTGCAATCTTTAATAGCAGACATCTATTATTGTAGTGGGAAAGATGAACAGAAACCGAGAGTCAGGTTTACCTGAGTTGCACCCTCCTCAACTGTCTTTTTTAGCCTCTGAACATCTTCTATCAAAGGGACATCCATCTCCATTTCTACAGGACTAGTGAGGTCAAAGGAATCAACATACATAGAGAACTATGTTGAAAAGAAAGGGAAACAAAAACAAAAACACAAAAGGGTGGAGAAAAGACTTTCAGCTGCATGCAAAGAAGAAGGAATCAAAAAGCTCTGACCTAATTAAAATAAGTAACTCGGATCTACTGTAGTTATCAGATTTATGCTTTAGCTGAGTTGTTGAGAATTACAGCAAATCTTGATTATGAAAAAGCCGAATAGTAGAATAAAAATTTAAAATAGACTCCAGTCTTTCGTGGCACATAAACACCGATGCTGACTTCTTTGGGTTAATAACTGCAGTTTCTATGCACTTTTAAAGGAACAGTTTGACATTTTACACTTTCTTTTCTTAAAGAATGGGATCCCATCATATTTCTACTACTACAACTAGATACATTCTACTCATCTGTATCTTTCCAGTCTTAACTAACAGTCTTAGTTGGAAAGCACTAACTACCACATCAGAGCATGAACAGTCTAAGTAAACCTAACTGGGATGAGACTGAACAATTCAGCAGTAAACCCTCCTTCAGAAAACACAAAACACTTAATAATTCTACAAACACTCACACACACTGGGGTAGGAAGAGGAAAACAGATGTGTTTAAAAGGACGGCACACGCTGCTCACCTGTGGATTTGACTTGGCGAGGTTCTCGATTTTGATCCAAGCCTCTTCGCGTTCTTTTGACTTGGCCTTCTCTCTGTTAAAGAAAGCACCAAACCTCCCGTCATTGATCTCTTTCACTCTACTGGTTTAAATGTGAAACCCAACACTCAATCAGCTGTGGTCTTAGGGCTGATTGCAATTATGTGTCAGACATTAAAAAAAAACAACTAATTGAGTGGGAGAAGAGTCTGTATCGCTGCCTACTTGTTTTTCTCAGCCCTAAATTGCTGTGTGCAGTCATCAAAGAGCTTTTGATTCATCTCCATGAAAAGCTTCAGAGCGTTGTAGATGAGGCCGTGGATGGTTCTGGGAACACACACACACACACACACACACACAGCAGTTAGTAGCAGCTTATGGTGTCAGTTTGTTTTGAGTCTCAATAGACCCTCTAACAGCTGAAAATAAATCAGGTAGCTTTAAAGGACATGCATCAGAGGCCATTCTGTGACCAAGGTCAAATCTCTACATACACTTTAGGGATCAGTGTGTGAGCGACTCAGTGCATTTAAGGACATTGGTACAGCCTGAGGGGAGATGCTAAGCTCGTGTATCTTACTTGTTCCAGTGGGTCTTAGAGTTGCGGTAGAGAGCAGGGAACATAATTGGCAGAATCTTTGCTGCGTTGTCGCTGATCAGACTCATGATGTACTCGTTGTTCCAGTAGTAAAGGGCTCTCTCTGCCACCTACACATAGCAATACACAGCACTTCAGTCAGGCACCTAAATAGCTTATTCCCTAAGGTATAACGGTAAGACTGTTATAAACAATCAGTTACCTGGAAGTGCGGGCTGGACACACACTTGGCCAGCTGTCTGAAGAGAGGTTCCTGCACCTTAACAAACTCAGAGGGCTCGATGACATCCAAGATCTCCTCCAGCTCATTGAGGAACATGACCTCCTTAGGACTGTGAGTCTTTGGCCAGTACTTTAGGAGAGCCATTACCACCTGTTAGGATGATGAAGAAAGATAATGATAATGTTGCATCACCAGCCATGTAAGAAAAGATGAGAGCAACTTAGGGGGTAAAAAGAAGTAAGTATGGGTCCATGAACTAGCCATTTAATTAAATCTGGACCCCATCATTCTGCAAAACCAAAAAGCCTAAAACAGGGTTCAAAATTTAAAATCACTGTGAGCATTATATAGAGTTTCAGCAAGCAGTGTTGGGCATACCGGCTCAGTTAGAGTGCTGTCCTTTTCCAAAAACTGCACCACGCAATAGGCCAGCTGCAAAACATATACAGATTATTAAACTGTCAAAGTGTGTACATTTTTGCATAACCAAAACATGGCAGGGGACATGGAATGCCTGAGAAACCGACTAGCTGGACCACGCAACCCCAGAACCTTATAGGACGACCTGCTACTTGCACGAAAAGAAGAAGATGTCATACAGTCCTGGTGTGTGCCCCGTCTCCACCTCCTTTTTCCTTGTCATGTTTGACCCTGCCCCTGTCTTTGTTCAGACTTCCTGCTCATCACTCACTCCACCTACACTCACCTGCGTTTCATCTCATTGCCAATTTGCCTCTAGGAGAAGCAAACAGTGTGACTGACCTGTACCCCAGCCCAGCATTGATGTTCCACATTGCTCTGTTTTCATGCTACCATCGGCCGAGTTATTCACCTGTATCACTTCCCTCTCACAGCTCCTGGTCAACATTCTGTGCTCATCACCTTCATGTACAGGTTGCAGTTTCTGGTCAGTAGTTTCATCTCAGGTTTTCATGTTACTATGTTTACAAACAGACTCTGGTGATCCTTCTGGTTCTAGTTATTCACCAGCGCTGTTATTTGGCTCTCCTGCTTTCTGCTTTGAGAACTGTGTTTTGTTTGGACAGTTTTGAGGCTTGCCTTAAGGCACCTACAGTATATTCTACTTTTGTTAGTACTGCCTCAGCTTCTGCGTTCCCAGATGTATCCAGTGACAAGCCTGAGGTTTCTTGTACTCATGTTCATATTTCATTCTACGTCATGTTCTGATTTATTCAGCCTCATCGACCATAGTTTTCGTCTGTCTGGTTTAAGTGGCTAAGTTTATAATATAGCTACGATTCCCTTCTCAAAGTTCCCTCGGGCTCTGTCTTAGGTCCTAAACACAAATTTATACAAGATCGTGACGGTGGATTGTACTTCAAGAAGGTTTGGACAAGAATATTTAAATACATTTAAACACAACGTCATCATTGTATAATGTATGTGCTGGCTTTATCCTCCCATGCAGCTACTCATCTGAAAATGATATGAAATCTAACGTTAAGCTTCCCATGTTTGCTTTTGTGTTCAACAAACTTACTTGTGGATGGTAGACACTGAGTGATTTGACTTTGTGCAGAGGCAATAAAACCTTCAACAGGAAAATCTTGTGCTCTTCCTTTAGTGGTAAGGCAAATCCATTGATTATGCTGTGAAACATAAAAAAAAAAAAAAACTATCAAGACATTTGAAAAGCAGCGTAGAATAATTATGTAGCTGGGAATGCATTAATAATTGCTCATACTTGGGCTGTTTTTACATTTAAAACAAATCATGTGCAGTTAAGTTTCATGGATTGTTTTCATGTGAGGATTTGATGAAATGAAAGAACAACTGAATGATATAAAGCAGGGGTAGGCAATCCCTTGTCCTTGAGGAAGATGCCATCCTAGATGAAGGTGGAATGAGGAAAGGCAAAGTGAACTGGTATCTTCCAGCTTCTGCTTGAATGAACACACCTGATCCAGGTAATCAGCTGTGGGTAGAGCAGGGACAGCTGGAAAACAGCAGCCCTGGAAGACTGGGATTGCCTACCCATGATATAAAGGTTGCACCACAACAACAGTACAGCTGCATTTAACAAAGGTTGTACTAGGGGGTCATACCTTCCAAGTATTTCCAGTAGTTCAGCTATGCCATTATGGTGCTCTGTCTCATAGATAAACCTGTGAGAACAAACAGGGACTAGTGGTAATACAGACTCTACATTAACTATCAAAATGTTTCATATATCAACCAGTTATCGTCATATACACATTCAAACATAATCTCAGAAGTGGGAGAACAGCACTGACCTATAGAAAATGTTATTGATCTGTTTCCTGATGTATGCTCTCAGGCCAAGGAACTTTCCATAGATCCTGTGCAGGGTAGTTTTGAGGAAGTCTCTCTCTCTGGGATCCTCACTATCAAATAGTTCTAGGAGCTGCAAGAAAACTGAAATGTTACCACAGTGACACTCACAGTGCAAGGTGGGTCTCACAGGTGACCTTTTTTATTATGCAGACTTAGAGTTTGCCAAAATACTCTTTTCTTACCTGCATAACAAATTTCTGGTCGATGTATTTCTTCGCTATGTTAGGCTGAAAATCTGGTGATTCTAAAAACCTAAGGAAAAATTCATAGACGAGCTGCAACATAAACAAGAAAAAAAAAAAGGAATGAGGGGAAGGAATTCAAGCAAAATCAGGGTCAAGTATACATGCTATTCATTGTTCCGTGGTGAGGTCTCTCACAAACATCTATATGCTTCAGTTCTCCTTTCAATTCTGAGCAGACATCAATATGAGAATGTCCGGCTGTTCGTTCTTTTATTTTTATATGTACAGTATATAAAGAGAATAAATACAGCATGCTTTAGCCTTGCAACTGAGGCCTTTCTGGGTTGAGGGTAATCATGTAGAAACATCTCACTGTTTTCCAGATGATTTTAAAAAGCCAACCTGGAGGTGTGGCCACGCAGCTTCAAGCGTTGGCTCATCTTCTTCTGGATCAAACTCCGCTCCAGTAGGGTTGGACGATGGAGGCAATGTTCTGAACATATTCACTGCAAACTGGAAGAGAAATTAAAACGTTTATTCCCCCGAACAGAATGCTATTTAAGACAACATGCAGCAGCTGTTTCAAATATCTATTTAAGTTTGAAAACAAACAGGTTAGGTTATAAAACTTTTTAATAACCAAATACATACAGTCATGTGAAAAAAATTAGGACACCCTTTGAAAGCATGTGTATTTTGTAACATGTCTTAATATATGGTTATTTAATCTCAAGTTTAACAATACAGAGAGATTCAAGTAATACAACTAAACAAGTAAAACTGAAGAAAAGTCTTTTCAAGATCTTCTGTAAATGTAATTCTACAAAAATGCCTATTCTAACTGAGGAAAAAGATAGCACACCCTTGTTTCAGCTGTGAGATGTTTGAGGGGTTTCTTGCATGTACAGCCCTTTTCAAGTCACCCCACAGCATCTCAATGGGATTCAGGTCTGGACTTTGACTCGGCCATTCCAGGACTCTCCATTTCTTCTTTTTCAGCCAGTCTTTGGTTGATTTACTAGTATGTTTTGGGTCATTGTCATGTTGCATGGTCCAGTTCCGCTTCAGCTTTAATTTTCTAACCGATGGTCTCACATGTTCTTCAAGCACCTTCTGATACACAGTAGAATTCATGGTGGATTCTATGATGGTGAGCTGACCAGGTCCTGCTGCAGCGAAGCAGCCCCAAACCATGACACTTCCACCTCCATGCTTCACAGTTGGTATGAGGTTCTTTTCCTGGAATGCTGTGTTTGGTTTACGCCAAACATGTCCTCTGCTCTGGTGTCCAAATAATTCAATTTTGGACTCATCTGTCCAACGAACATTATTCCAGAAGTCCTGGTCTTTGTCAACATTCTCTCTGGCAAATGTCAGTCTGGCCTTGATGTTTCTCTTAGAGAGCAAAGGTTTCCTCCTTGCACGCCTCCCATGCAAGTTAAACTTGTGCAGTCTCTTTCTGATTGTAGAGGCATGCACTTCTACATCAACAGTAGCCAGAGCCTGCTGTAGGTCTCGAGATGACATTTTAGGGTTTTTGGAGACCTCTTTTAGCATCTTGCGGTCTGCTCTTGGTGTGAACTTGCTGGGGCGACCAGACCTGGGCATGTTGGCAGTTGTTTTGAAAGCCCTCCACTTGTAGACTATCTTCCGGACAGTGGAATGGCTGATTTCAAAATCTTTTGAGATCTTTTTAAATCCTTTACCAGACTCATAGGCTGCTACAATGTTTTTTCTGAAGGCCTCTGACAGCTCTTTCACTCTCACCATGGTGCTCACTCTCACTTCAACAGTCAGGAGCACACCAAACTAAATGTCTGAGGTTTAGATAGGGCAAGCCTCATTCAAAATGCTGAGTAACGATCTACTAATTATGTGCACCTGGTGTGATATACCTGTGTATGATATGAACCATTTTAAGAGGGCATACATGTGAGGGTGTGTATCTTTTTCCTCAGAATAGGCATTTTTGTAGAATTACATTTACAGAAGATCTTGAAAAGACTTTTCTTCAGTTTTACTTGTATTACTTGAATCTCTCTGTATTGTTAAAATTGAGATTAAATAACCATATATTAAAACATGTTACAAAATACACATGCTTTCAAAGGGTGTCCTAATTTTTTCACATCACTGTACACAGCAAGACCTTGGTTCCTGTCAGAAGCTTCCAATTCTTCAATAAATGTCTTTATTTATAAGAAAACCAACAGTGAAAGTAAACCAAGCGACTGCACTTGAAGAATTCTTGAAGAATTCTTTTCATACACTCTGCTTTACCTAACTTCACTCTACTCTGCTTACACAATGCACAGTTTTACATCAAGCCATGCAAACCAAAGTAACAGCAGCATTTCTGTTACTGAGACCTACAGCAGAGCCTCCTCAGAGTCTGCATCACAGAGAGTAATGCCACATGTAATTACATTGGAGATGCACATGCTTGTGTAAAGTTTGCTTAAAGGTTGATTATAAGTGCTACCATCATTTGAGTAGAACTAATTTAATCATCTCCTAGCCCTTCTGTTAAATGGTTAGGAACGTGTTAATGTCATGTATTTCCAATTTTCTGTTGAATCTTGAGCCTTTGCTGCTCGGAAAAAAATAACTGAAATAAATTAAATTGTCTATGAAATGTACCATCTCAGGTAATGTAAAATCATTTTTCCTTTTAGGTTAATGTTATCTTTGTCCTGAAAATTGGCCTCCAAGGTTTTGGCCCACAATAATCCAAGTGTGTTGTGTTTCTGGTCTCCCACAGTGTCAAATGACTCCCCTGTGGGCTGCTGTTCCCTGCCAGGCAGATCATGGGACAGCGCAGGTGGCCTACTACAACACCGACAGCCTTGTTTGAAAAGACAAGCTACAAGGAAGACAGCTTCTCCGGGCTGTGCAGCACAACCCAGAACAAGGTGTGGAGATATCATAGCAATGGAAATGTCTTATCTCTGATTATAGCAAATCTACTGTTTCCTTGAAAACACAATATTAGCAAACCTCAGTGTTTTCATCGTGTTTATATGTCACCACCCATGTGTGACGTCTGTTATCATGATAATCTTGTTTTGCTCAGATTCTCTGCTGGTTGAGTTTAGCTGCGGTAAATCAAAGTAAAATAAATTCTTCCATTAATTCAAAACAAGCCGCTGTTGCCTCTGCTAAACTTTGGTCAGAGTGACGTTCTTATAATGTAAACACTTTCATGTACAGAGCGTAGGTGGGCAGAACTGGCAAAACAGAGGAAAATATAAGGTTTCTTTATATGAATCATGGCACATTCAACTTTTATAAGAAACAAACGCCTTTTTCCCATTTCCCCAGTGGATTTAACCTCTTTCATTCTTTAAAAATAAAATAATATGAATGGTGACAGCAGACCTTCTTAGCCAATAAATAATTGCATCGATCTGAAATGACTGCACCAGGAACTCAAACAAAAACTTCTGTCAAAATCAGTCTAGAGCTTCAACTAATTATTTATCAACAACCAATTTTCAGAAATCTCCATACAGAGACTAAAACTGACAATGACTTGCCTCTATTCGTTGTTAAAAGTCCTGTCAGTGTGTCAGTCCTGGATTAACATATTTGTCTGTGCCATAGACCTCCGTTGTTGTTCCGGTATGATTAAAAACACATCAGTGGAACAAGCCACTGCGCTGGGTGACAGCCAGCAGAATGCAAACAAAGCTTAGCGCTCACACCAGATCTCACGCATGCGCAGGTGACTCGGACTTGTGCCGACTTCAGGAAATTATGGCTGCTTAGAGACTTTGGAGCAACATGGTCAGGTCTGGGGTTTGGTAATGAAAGAACGTGTCTCCCAGCGCAGCGGTGTGTTTTTTTTTTTTTTTAAAAAAAAAAAAAAGCCGATCCAGGACTGACAGCTGACAGACAAACCATGAATAGAGGGGACTCATTGTCTGTTTCAGTCTTTATATGGAGATTGCTAAAATACTATTAATATAGACTCAAACCTGTGCCCCTCATTCATTCAAGTCTACTGACCATGTGAACCACCTCTGGGTAGATTGGCTCTGTGATGACATTCCTGTTGTGGGTGATGTACTCCACCATTTCGCTCAGCGCCGCCCGTTTCACTTCCTTCCATTTCAAATCGCTCAGCGGGTCAGACAGGAAGTCGAAAAGAACACAGCACTGTCGTAGCTTTTGGATGAAGAGCTTCTCCTGCTCCGCAGGGGCCACATCTAATGAAAGATCAGAGGGGAAAAAAGTGAGGCCAGTGAATGGAATTAAAACGGGATAAAAGAGCCCAAGGATGACTGACAAGTTGAGTGGTGACAAGTGCACAGTGGTGATGAAATGAGGCAGTTGAGAATATCTGAAAATGGAGCCATGTTCAAAGAATGAGGGGGTCACAAGAGAAAGGAGGGGGTGGTTTAACTGTCAAGGATGGCAGCTAAAACGGTGATATGCTACAGAAAAAAATAGGAGGCAGCAAGAGTGTGATGTAGCCTGGTAAATGAGTCATGAAGACTAAAGTGCATTGAGAGAAAGGCTGAGATGGTTAGAGCCCAGGGGGAGGATAACAACAGAGCAGAGAGGAGGAGAAAACAGAGTGGAGGAGGAGGAGGAGGATGGAGGCTTTGGGAACTAGGTGAACAGTCACAGTCGAGCCATTTGCCACACACACTGTGAAAAAGATATTTATAAAGGAAACCCTAGCTATTTAAGTCTATCATTATATTTGTCCACGGCAGTTTGAGAACATGCCTTTCCGCTACATTTCCAAAAAAGCACAGGCTTGTAAACAAACAATCTCCGTGAGAGTCAACACTTCACACATGATGACACAAAGAGGGAACCACCATTTTGGTTACTCTAAAGTCCTACCTGCTCATGTGGAGCAGTAACAACACACAGTGACACCGTCATTATGTAGTTATGTGACAACTTTTTCTTATGATTCACATATCCCTCTGCTACCATAACTATGGCTGTTGTGGCACAATTTATATCATTAACGAAATCAGGATCTCTAAAAGACACAAGGCTTTGGTTTTGTTTGCATTGCCTGAAATGTTTCTCCTGTTTCCAGCCTTAATGCTAAGCCAAGCTAACTGGCTGTATTTACTGGACAGACATCAGAAGGGTGTCAGGCCTCTCATCTAACTCTATGCAGGAAAGACAATAAGCACATTTCCCAAAATGTCAAACTGTTAAGTCTAGTAAAAAGCTATCCCCAAAATCTGATTCACACTTGCTCAGCTATTGTTTTCTTATTAAAAGTGTAGCAACACTCACTCCGGAGCCAATGCCACCTTTGGCAATGCAGAGCAGTTCTGTCTGCTCACACAGACAGGTTTGTAGATTTGCATGGTAAGATGCAAATAATTGCTTTATCTTTTAAAATTGGATATCACAATAACCTCTAACTCCATTTATAGATTAGATACCCCTCAGTAAAGTAACAGGTATATTTTTTAAAAAGATTTTCTATTTCAATTCCTGTATGCTTTAACAAAACCTTTGATAACCTCCAGGTAGGGAAGAGTCTCTTCCCTGACTAACTGATGTATGTTTGGCTCTGTCTTTCCCCAGCTGCAGCTGTAATAAAAGAGGCAAATTCATAATGTCAGGTGTGGGTTCATGTAACGGCCAGAAGGAGCTGCATGCAATACAGATAAGAGGTCTGTCAGATCAAGATGTTCTCACTTGGCTGCTGGTGATTTACAGCAAACAAACAGGCATAAATGTGGTTAGACTGACAGATTAATATTTTCATTAATACCTCTCCTTGTAAGGTATGCTCTGTATCTGACAGAAGGTAGATGTTTTTACTGAATCAGTGCCTACACACAGGATATGACACCTGCAGCTGCTTTACATTGAGATTTTGCCCTGTTTCTGCCATCGGGACTGCAGTGAGAGAATATCCTCCTTACACAAAAACCATATACAGTACACCACAGCATATCCTCCATCTATGGTGTTAAACCCCAATAAATCATCCAAGTGCAGTAAACAGTGTGTTTCCCTATAATTACTCCTTAGTAAAGGGTGCGGATTTAACAATGGGTTGGCACTGAGGCTCGGAGGATGACTGCACATGAGGACACTGACGCAGTGGGTGAACCAAATTAGAGCAGATATATATGGTATAAACGTCAGAGGTAAAAACAAATAAATAAAAATAGATTAATTCTATTCCTCTTGCATAGTAATCTATGGGTAAAACAATTCCATTTACTGAGATAAGCAAATGTGAAATATTTCAAACAAGGAAAAGGCGTAAAACATAAAAATGCTACATGCATCCAAAAATGTACAGTACCTACTGCAAAACTATATTATTTGCAGTAAATTAATTCAGTCTTTCTGTTATGCTGCTGCTTTCCATCTCGTTTTAATTACACTTAAATTAATAAACAAAAACTGGCAGTAACGCCGTCACACAGGTGCGTACGAAGTGTAACATTAAATCAAAAACTTGATATAAGCTCAACATATCAAGATAATATACTACTAAACCCATTTGCTCAGGTCCTAATTTCAATGAATGAACACAGACTGTGACAAAGGCAAACACAGAACAGAGGCGGGTGCGTGTGCGTGCGCACACACATATGCACTCTAACACCAAAGGTGCTTGACATTCTTGCAAATAGGAAGATTCTGGGTAAGAGGAAAGGTATCCTCTTCAGACACAGTGGAAATTTGGATGGGACACACACAAGCATACTTCTGTGTCGTCTGTCAAGTCAATTAATCTTGATGACAGCGAGATGTTGGGAATTCCAGAGGAAAGAGGGCAAGTGTGTGAGCTGCCATTATCAGCCATTTCAATAAAGATTTGCTGGACAAAAGTGCTGTCACAACAGGAAAACACTATGAGTGCCAGGACGCCTTAGTAAAACAAGAGAAAGACTGGTTCAGCAAAGACATTTCTCATCTCTATTATGTACTCAAAATCAGCTAAGAATTGTTTCACAAAGTGAACAGCAATTTCAGGAAGAATTTCATCAGTGTTTACTTTTCAGTGCACTCTCTCCCTGGCATGAGCTTTGTGTTATAACATTTGTTGGAATTTGTGCTACTTGTACTAGGAACTGGAATGTGTTGCCTTGCACCCCTGACCGTGTCAGACTTGACTTGTTCGATTACATAAGTCTGTCTGTGTTATAAAGTTTCTGTACACTCCTAGAAATACCCACTGGGTTGTTGTGTAACAAATAAAGGCCCAGTGTTGTGATCCCAAAACCGATGGTAACTCCAGCGTGAGTTCTACTGACGAAACAAACAGAGCCTTAAGAGGGGAACAGACATGGCACATGTACACAAAAACTATATCTTAATGCCCCCTGTGAAATAAAAATATAAATAAATGGAACCACAGTCTCTATTTTTCCTCTGTAAATGGGTCAAATGAACAGCTGCTAGTCTGGAGTTAGGACTGGTTTGCCACTCTGCTTTATCGGCAGCATGTTATGATCAATGTAAACACTGACTGATTACTATTTATTGTAGCTGTATTAAACTGTTACACTTTTGATGGCCATGTAAAAAACTAGTTTTGCCACATTCATTCATTAAAACAGTTCTGGCTGCATTATAAGAAACAGCTGAGAACGCATCATGTAGACCAATGAATGCAAGCCAAAACACACTGAGGTCAATGATTTGCGTGTTAAAATAGGCAGTGTGTAGCGTGAATGCAAATGCATTCCTCAAAGTGCCGGCCACCTATAGTGCTGTGTGCGAAATATTCCAAATACCATTAATTTGTCTAAACCAAACAAGCACAGACGCTGGTTATAAATTCTATACAAGGGTAAGACACCACAAGAGGAGGAGAGTGGAAACCACTCAAGTGGTCAGTCAAACATTAATCTGAGACACATTCAGATGCCAGGTGTAAACTACAGTCCGTCTCAACTGGATGTAGACACAGTCTGGAAGGACTAGGATAGAAGACACTTGGTCTGAACAGGGTTATAATGACAGAGACACAAAAAGTGGAAAGAGAAAAGGAGGCAGTGAACCTTATTGTTCCCTGACAGTGAGTTGTCATTCAAGGCAGTCACCTCGGTGGCTCAATAAAGTGTAATCGATAATTCCCTGAGGCTTGATAGAACACTGGGTTGCACCTGAATACAGTGGTAACAGACCCAGCCTTTCAAACATGACTGAATGCACTTGAATACACTATACACACACATCATGAGGCCAGGCCCAATGTTGGAATCCTAAAACATTACTGCTCTGCTGTGACAAAGATGGCAGGGTCATATTAACAGCAGTGTTTGTGGGCTAAGATGTGCACTGAAGAAAAATGTAATCTCTTTTCTTTTCTCCTAAAAAAACTGTCTTGAAGATGCATAATCATCTTATAAGGAAAAGAGGCGGTGAGATGGACAAGGGGGCTGCTGCCTGCTGTAAAACAGTGGCCGTCTACAGCCTCCTCACTGTGACCAATTTGTGACCGGATGAAGCGGAGTGTGACAAAAATGCTGGGCCAAGTGGAAGAGCTGAGAGGGAGATGAAGACGGACAGACAGTATGCGAGTCTTATTCAGGAGTGACAATAACTGCAGACATAAACACAGAAACACACAATTACATTGAAACACATGAAAAACTAAAGAGAAGACCCTTCACTAGGCTATGACCTCACTTCCTTTGACATCACTAGCTTGGCGGGGGGATGGGCGGACAGAGCGGCTAGCTAGTAAAACCAGATTTTTATGTAGCTCCGTGTCTCACAGCTATGCACACAAAGCCTAACAAACAACTCCCCGGTTCGTTTTCAAATACAACAGAGCATGTTTTTCGAACCACAGCAACAATGATGTTATCTCAAGCATCTGACTAACCAAGCAGTAACCAGTGGAAGAGGAGCACAGCAACACACAGCTCCCTCTCCTCTTAATTCCCTAGGACAATACAGGAAGAATAATTTGTCCTTACATACCTCTAAAGTGCATGAGAGCCACCGGCTGAAAAGGCCCATTAGAATTAGGTGCATCCACAACCATCCTGTCTCCAGATTTATTGCATGTCAACATCTAAGCCTCAACCAGGAAGACGATCCACTCAGGGCGAGAGGCCAGCCTCCATTTTAGCACAAAAGCAGAGCAGAAAATGAAGCTCTGTGCTGCTGGAGGGAACTGGATAGGTTGTGATGTAAGCAGTGAAGGAGGCAGCTGATTGGCTGAGCTCAGGCTGCTCTGGAGCAATGAGGGCAAAGGCTGCTGGGAGAGAGGGAGGGTGATTGGCTGAGGGGATGCACAGTGGGCGGGGCATACACTGGGGTTTCTGCTCCAGCTCCTCCTCCCCACTCACTGGTCTGTGGTGGCGCTCTGCAAGACTGGTCCGGCTACAAAGCTTGAATCAGACTGGCTTAAGTCTTTTCCACAGTTTAACCATTAGCAGGGTTTTCAGCATAATCTGACTTGGTATAAGCAGCTGGAAATAATCTGAGTGTGAGAGAGGGGCCCTCGCTGAATCTTAAAGTATTTCATTGTCATATCTGCTTGATTCATTATCAAAGGGAGGTGGAGGAGAGGGTCAGAGGGAAAATCAAAGGTTTGGATTCAATGAGGATCAGAAAGAGACAAGGAAAAACACATAAGGAACTGAGGACAGGACAACAGGAGGCTCAAAACTCTGTGCTCTCCATTAAGAAAAAATAACAAAATTCAGTAAAACGCTGTTCAAAGCTATTCACACATCAGTGTGATGTGATGCAGAATATAAACAACACCTTGATATCTAATAAATTATTTGATTCAGTCCGATAAGACAGCTTAAAAACATGAAATGGATGGCTACACACACAAATAACAGCAACAATCAACCACCTTCGGTGACTCCGTATAATGTATTTTATGAGGAGGGCTTTATGACTCACACACTACTCAGGGCAATGGCAGAATTTGCTGCATTGTGTTATTCTGAGTGAGGTATGTGTGCTTAGCAAAATTAGCTGTAAACAGGAAATGAAAGTGAGATGACAGAAAATTAAATGCAACTGGCACACAACTCAGGAAGCCGCTGCAACTCCATGCAGCATTCACAACAGGTCGGAAAGTTTACCTGCTGACTCTTCGTTTGTTTTACAGAATTAGGCATCATGTAAGCTGATAGTGTACTGTCTGACACTTTATATCATCTGAATCAGCCTTACTGGCCAGATGTGTGGAACGCATGAGGAATTTGACTACAGCGCAAGTATAGAATTTGATACAGGGCATGTATACATATACTAAACCTTCATTACCCTAACCAACACTCCAAGGAGACAAATGAATAATCTGCATTTCTTCTTTACATAACAAACTAGCTTCCCTCTTATTTCACACTTCATGTGATTGATCAGGGGACACATCACATTCACACCACAAGGGTGATCAGACACTTCATAACAGTGGGGCTCATAACACCACTGTCATGGTAGTTCAATACCTAAGGGACTGTGCTGTTTTCCAGCAATAGTCACTGTTCATCCCTAAGAATTCCAACCAAGAGTTCATGATGTTACAGCTGTTATCAAATGAGTCTAACACTGAAAAAGCACCACATGATGATAACATTCTGAGCTTCATATGCCAAATATTTTGGTGGACACGACAGATACATTTTACGACTTACAACCCAAAAGTACTGTATGTGATTTAGTCTGACAGTTTCTTATTGACAGGTAACTGTTGCCTCAGTAGGTGTGGTGGTAAGTTAACCAAATATATCGCTAGGCAGGTCTCACTCTCTGCATTCTCTCACTGAGTGGCCAAAGCCTCTCCAAGAGGTGCCGTTGCATTCCACAACCATGACAACGGACGCTGGTATTTTCTGAAACTGCCACTTATTTCCTCCTAGCTGGGTGAGACGTACCCCAGGGCTCATTATTGTTAGACAAAAAAGCTGTTATTGTTAACAAATTCCATGAAAAGACTAAAACCAAAAAAGGACAGATCCTTCTAACAAGTATTTTATGTTTAACCTTATATTCAGTAGGTATGGGTGGATTATGAGATGAGGACAGGTAAAAGGGCCCCACGATCCTATACAGAAAGCAGACTGAAACAAACAGAAAATGATTTGCTTTTCATGTCTTTATGGTCATTTTTTTCCTCTTTGTAGTCTTGTTGCATCACTTTGTGGTTGTCCTGTGTCCCCTTTGAGGGTTGTTTGTTTCTCTTTATGGCCATTTTGTGTTACTACATAGTTGTTTTGTTTCTTGTCTGGCACCTTTTGTGGTCATTTTGTCTTTTAACTGAGCTCTGACTTCGAAACAAGAAATATTACTTTATACTGAGGGCCCCCTGGATGTCTCAGAACCCTGGGCCTGCAGCTGATAAGCATGTTCTGTAATATATACATGGCAGTAAGCGCTTCCTCTATGCCATAACACATCAGTGAGCCAATAAATCTTTATACAGCTGATGCAGTGGCCGACATGGCTCTTCATTTCTGTGAACATGAGCGCTGTAGTTCATTTTGTGTGAATCCCATCTACATGGTTCTGCTAGAGTAAATACCTTCTGGTACACAAGCCATGTATTAATCTGTAGCGGACAGTCCCAAACACTATTTTATCATAACTATTTCTTTCTTTATCATCACTATTTTATCAGAATGTTGTCATAAAAAAGTGCCCATCTGTTTTAGGGTATTACTTAAGCTTTTAAAAAAAATTACACAAACCATTTTTGGCTGGCTTTTAAAAATTCCCATCTTCAGGGGTAATGAATTGGCCTGGGGTTGAGGGCCAGAGACGGGAGAGGGAAGTAGGAAAGACAGATTTAGATCTTTTTATGGAATTTGTTGACAATAAAGAACTCTACCAGCCTCATTCTTCATATAATGTCTGTCATATGGTTTAACTCAAATGAAAAGGCAGGACATCATATTAAAATAATGAACTGAAAAATCTCAACATTATGGCCAAGGAAACACCAGCGCTTCCATTTTCAACCAGAAGATGGCAGCACAACCCAGAGAGTCATGCTTTCCCCCTTTCTATCTCTCTCAGACAAACACAAAATTACTTTCATGCCTGTCACACTGCATGAGGCAAGTGGCTGAATGAGCAAGTAGTTACGCTGACAGCATCTGCCCTCTATCTGTAAAGCCTAAGATCACAGAGCAGCCCTTAAACTATCAGGAGAGTAATTTGTATGACATTCAAGGCTTGGTCATGCACGTTTCTCCACTCACTTTCTTCTCACAACTCAAACCACAGAGTATATTTTAATACACAACTAGAAAATAAAAGTTGTGAAATTCTTCACTATGTCACCATTACACTATTGTTTCTCTGTAACACCACCCTGCTCATCCAGGTATGAAAACAAAGTGTAGCTGGGTATACAGTAGCTCTCTGGAATCCACTTAGCCCAGACTCTGTCTGTAATGTTGAGTGTAAACAAAGAAGCCATGAAACATTGATGAAAGTGTTCAAACCTCAACCTCACTGTCTCATCTAAGAATCAGCATCAGTGTGATAACAGAGGCAGTCAATACAGCAAATCATAACACTGTCAGTGGAGCCAGTTAGCCATGCTATTATTATTATGGTTAGTTTGCTGACTACTAACTTTGGCACAAGTCCAGTTGATCAGATTTGCTTTGGCAGGCTGTTTTATAGGTTGAAGTGTTAACAGTACTCTGACACATCTAATGCTCCAAGATGTGTTTGAGTGTATAGTTTATGGTTGACTGGTTTTACATTTTGAGTTATTATTGGATGGCCAAAATTTGCTGCCTTCCTATCTGTTGTTGTCCATTCAAAGTTATCTTACATGCACAAAGCCCTCCGGGGGTAATATCTGTTTCTCCCAGGTACGGCTAGAGATGCAGCTGATTGCACATCATTTGCATTACAGATAAAGCTGATGGGTAGTCTACGCCTCTATAAATTATGTAGTGAGCCAAGACCTCAAGGTTAAAAAGATGGTTGTGAAGATCCATCACGGCTATAAATTGTTAATATGATTCCTTTCATGCATATAGGCCAAACATGCAATCTTAGAGAGTGGTCATCTAGCATTTTCCAGGAGAGGAGTAAAAGCTTATCTATGTATATGAGTTATTACAGATGAGGAAAATGTAGTGGAGCTGCATATTAAGAAAGTGGGAAGAGGAGAGTGATAGCTTCTTACACCAGTGCTGCACAGTGAAGGAAACATACCTGCCAGTGCAGGCAGTTTCTGTAGCTCTCTGTTAGCACTGAGGGGGAAAGAGGAAGTGCTGAACCTCTTCTCCCTCTTCATGGCCGAGTGTGACACCGGCTGCTTCACCCTCATTAGCTGAGTTGCCGAAGGCACTTTCTTAATGGAGCCCTGCAGAAACAAGAGTCCCAGAGAAAGGTCTTCTGTTACTGTGACAGGGTAAGGCAATGTAGTTTTCAACCCAAAGGAAATGACACAGGAATCACTTTACTCAAGTGTCACTATGGAGTCCAGAGGAAAGGAGAGGAAAAGGAGTCAGGGTGCTGTAGTTAAGGTCAAGTTCCTTTCCGGATCAGATCAGGTGATTCTCAGTGAAGCAACCTGATCACAGCCGGTGGTGTACTATACTGCATCTGCTGACAAGAGTTTGTGAAGGACCTCAGTGTGCAGAATAACTGAGCACAGATGGAGCTGATAAAGTTGTCAATGGAAACAAATAGCATGTCCAGGAGTGAATCAAACTGGTCTCGCCAATCTCAACATCACCAACGTGCGCCAGGAAACACAAGGACAAAAACTGCCGCTACAGTACCAAGTGTTAAACTCAGAAGCCAAACCACACGTGCTGGGAAGAGTTAGGCATCGGCAAGTATTTTCAGAGAACAAAGTCATAAGGTCACGCTGTGATGTCACATGAAAAGCCTCATCTACAATTCATGAGGAGAAAAAGTCACTCAACACAAAAACAGATGAATGATAACCCTAACCCATGCACCTCACATGTGCATGTGTGATATATTTCATGTTTGTGTGTCTGACATGTAATCACCTATGTTTTTAGCATTAAAGTTAATCTTTTGAGTAGAACATAAACACTGGTTACCTAAAGGCCAAAAGACGTTTCCAGGGAACCTCTAGGCCTCTAGGCTGATTATGACACCAAATAACACACACAAAAACAAAACTAACTAAACACTACACACCACTGGTTTTACACTGACAACATGTTATGGTATTTAACATATTGGTAGTGTATTTTTATATTATTTACAATAATCATACCAGTGACACTGTGCAGCTTAGTTAATTTAGCCTCTATTTATCTGTATCACAGTTTGTATTTAAATGGTAAATGGACTGTATTTTATATAGCGCTTTCTCACAGTGTGTTGCACTGGCCAAAGCGCTTTACAGAGATGATACACCATTCACCCATTCACACACACTATATTTTATTGTTTTTTTTTTAATACAGTGGCCAATGCAAACTCTGGCTGGACAGTGACAAGTTTAAAAACACTTACGTCTTTGTCCTCAACAGGCCCATTTTTACTTCCGTTATTTTTAGATTTTCCAGATTTGGAGGATTCCTAAACAACAATAAAACAAATTAAGCACAACAAACATTATTTAAAGCTGACATTTAATAAAGTGCACTTGCTTCCAAAGCCTGTTTACCTTGTCCTTTTTGCTTTTGTGAGGCATACTGAGACGAAGGACGAAGGTCAGCGGGTCGCGGGGAAACTGGTCACTGGCAGCATGAGTCTGGTTAAAGTGGTTTTCACGACGGACGGTCCGAACACCATGTGACTGAGCCACAACGCGATGTCATCCTATTTCCGCGGTAGCTTCATACAACAACTCACGCTTTGTCAAAAAGATATAGCTCATAACTGACTGAAATACAATTTATTTTCATTGGCAACGTCCAACTTACCGCGTCCGTGGCTGTACTCTCGAGCACCCGCTGTATCTCCTTCCGGCCCAGGGGGTACAGATGGGTGTCCTGTGCCGGTTGTAATAACTGGAGACGGCCGCAGGAGGGCAGTGTTGTACCTGTAAATCCCATACGGATCTAACGTAGAAATGTCACTGAAATGAACAGCTAACCTTTTTTTAATGTATATGAAAGTGAGAAATCGTCCATTTGGGACAAATCTTTCCTTCAGTGTGTGCTTAGAGCCTGTAGAAAATTGTCATATGAGACTATCATGCACTAATAATGTAACACTGACAACCCAACATCAGATTACTTTTTAAATATTTTAGTAATTAATTAAACTGGATGGAAACACAAGAGACTCATTTGATGCTTTATATTAATTTGTTTTAAACTAACCTCAAAGAGATTACGCCTGTGTGGAATTTCTTCACCTCCACCTCTAGGCTGAAAAATTGATGAACTCCCCCTTTACCTGACCTGGTGACACAGGATATATCTGCAGCGAGCACTCTTGTTTAATCATGACTGATTGGAGAAGAAAGCACAGATTGACATGAGTAAGGAATGCATGTGGGCTACAAAGAGAGTAGGACTGTTTTCTATTCTGGGTGTTGATGCAGTACACTGGTGTGCATTGATTAGGTTGTGAGAGTCTTTGCTCTCTGAATCACTGTGTTTCCATCTCTCCTCTGCCCATGGTCAGAATTCCACCATCAACACTGTGTTATTACTGGATGATATGGCTCCCTTCATTTCCTGTCTCAGCAACAACAGTGATGCAGCAGCACTGAGGAAAAAATGGTTTGTGGATGCTTAGTTTTTGTTTTTCTACTATCCTTCAATAAATGAATGGAATATTCTTATACATAAACTTGCCCAGTAGTCTATTCCTATTTATCGACTTTATATATACATATTTATTTTCTTGACTCTTGGGTTTATATTTTTCTGCTAGAACTACTTGGATTGAATTCTTTAATTTTTTTTACAGTACAACCTTTCAGTCTGCTTTATAGCCTACTGTGCAGCATGGTCGGTGAAGTGTGAGGTGGGATAACACCAGATTGTCCAGCCAGTGGGGCTGCTCAGCAAGAGCTTGTTTACTTTTCCAGGAGAGAGAAAGGGGTAAAAGGAGAGAGAAATGGAACACTTCTTATAATGAAAGAAGATTGACTGATAGAACAAAATTCTCTTGGTTAGCTGTAACCATTGTGTTGTATCACAGGTGCATGATCCCACAGAGATAACACATAAACCAGGACTCACAAGCTCACACCTTCGTGCTTTCATTGCTTTTGTTGTCTAAAGGGAAACTATAATTGCTTGGCAGTTTGATTTTGAGGGTAAATCTGACTGAATTCAATGTTCAAGAGAATGTGAGGTGCTCATATAATAAACATACTTTTACTTATTTACTTTATACTCAACAAGACCAAAAGTCTGCAGCCACATTCTGACACGTCTCTGCCTCTTATCATACACCAGACAACAAAGCTGCCAGAAGAACTATACATGGAGACATAACTTTTCTTAGTAGTTCTGACATCATTAGTTATTTAGTTTTATGATTGGTTAATCAACTGCTTCAGTTGTAAAGCAACCAATGCCAAATATTTACTGTTTTCAGCAACGTGAATATTAGCAGATTTTCTTCATCTAGAGTGTTCAAGTGAATAGAATATCTCTGAGTTTTAGATTATTGTTCAGACAAAACAACACACTTGAAATTATCGTTACATATTTCCTTGTTTTCCAAGCTTCTACTCTGTACACTAAATGATTATTCAATAAATTGAGAAATAATAATCAGTAATAAGAATAAGTGTAAATAGCAGCCTTACTACCAGTGGAACATAAAGTGTAGTTTGGCCTCAACGACTGCTGAGGAAAGGCCAGATTGGTATCTAAATGCTACCAGATGTATTAGACTCTCATTACAGTTGCAGAAGAGAAACTTTTTGAGTGGTTAATACACAGAGAGGCAGCTTTGCTATTCTTAGTTCCTTCCACTAGAGGGGCATCAGTAGCCTGAGACCGAGGACAAGGAAGAAGCCATATTCTTGTCATTATCATGCTACTGCTAGCATCTTGACATACATAATACACATTACTGGTTGCTGACATGTTTATGTTTGGCATGAAGGAGCACTCTCACTCCGTGTACAGAGTAACAGACAGCATCCGGGTGCTCTCACCTCGGCACAGCAGATGGTGTGTTTGATGAGTTTGGGAGAACATCATGTACCAGCTGCTTCAGGAACATCATCCTCTGGGATTCAACTTTCCATTTTCTTCAGGGTGACCTTATTTTTGCCTGTAGCTACTTTCTACAATCACCTTTCTGGTTCATGCCAACTCTTCTGGATTTCACCTCATGTTCTGCAGCCTACCGATCATGCTGCACCAGCTTCAGTCTCTCTTCTTTTCCTCTGGGTGTTGGAGTGCTCCCCAGATTCACTTCCTTCACTTTGAGCTCTAGCTGCCATAATTGTGTGCTGATTTCTGTTTTTTAAAGCCTCAACCTGGAAACTGAATTTTTGAAATACTGATACTAATGTTAATAACACAATCATAGTCAATTCAAATGTATATGGTCAGAAATGACAGATATGGCCTTCAAGTATTGGTGATTAAAGCAAATACACAAACAAACTTGCTTAGTTTGTTTGAAATTTAAATGACATTTCAAGCCATTTGTTTCAGAGGACTCAAAATGTTCATGTGTCTTGTGTATTTCCATACATTTCCATAATTCTGCGTTAAATTAAAATATTTTTTTGCAATCTATAAGAACAATTATGCAGACAATTCAGCTCTGAAACAGACGTAGTCGCTATTGATTGGATGACTTGTTCTACTTTTCTTTCAGTACGCTCATACGATCCTCACCTTTGTTCAGTTGTAGCAGTTAAAGAATCGGATCATACACTCATACAAGGTGTGAGGGGTGCAATGTCTTAAATGTCTTTTGAAGGTCTGGTTATGCTTTTAAACCTCATAACAGTGAATTAAATTTATATTAAAACAAACAAACATAAAATTTAAA